CCCCAAAACCCCAAAACCCCAAAACCCCAAAACCCCGTAGCTGAATGAAGAGATTGATTTACAATTCTGAAATTTTTATATAGAACATGGCAGCCTGGTGAGGGTTCTATATGGAGGTTTAGGAAGGAGGTAGGGGGTTGGAGAGGAATAAGATTTGGAAAATTGAAAGAATTTGAGAAAGGAGTTACTTACGTAGCTTTTTGAGGGGTTTTAGAGGGTTGGAATTGGATTTTGGACCCTAGGATGTGTGCCATGTTCTTGAGAAAGGGGTTTAGGCTTAGTTTTGGGCATGGATACCATTTTCAGCATCTTTATTTTCTTCATTTTGCTGACCTTCCAAGAGAGCATCTTGTATTAAAGTTATACAGAATTCAAATTCTCAAAGTTTAACTCTCATTATAACAAAATTTCTCTTTTATCAGTAAAGTCTGAACAAAAGGCAACTAATGCCTTAAAAGATTCTGTTCTAACACAAACCTTTAATACAAACAAATTCTTTCAACCCGATTCCCTAGGCTACACCCTAATCTTCCCTCAAGTTAGTCTCAAATTTCAACAAACTTACTGTTTGGCTGTTGTTGATCTACATTCTGGCTTTTGCTTCTATTTTGGATCTCTATTAAAATTATTTTCCAAAGATACGGTTAGAACTTACTTAAACAACCAAGAGCGAGGAGGGTCAGAACTAGAACTAAGGAGAGACAGCAGCTTAGCTAGAGATTATCAAAGTTGCTTACCAATTTGAGGAAGCCCTCCCACTTATTGTTGATCACTTTTGGGTTCATCTCGTTCACAATCTCACTCTCAGCGATAAGGTCAGATACAGTAGTGCAGTCTTCATCTTGTTTAATGTGGTTAATGACTCTTGGAAGCTATAGATATAGGTTAGCATTCTGGGATCCTTGAAGGACTTTAAGAAGCCTTATAGTAGAGAAGAACTAAGTTCCTTACAAAAGCTTGATGAATTTTGTTCTTAAAGCAAGCATTTTTCGACACTGTATAAGAAGCTCTTGGGTCTGACTTCAATTTCTCAATCAAGACCATCTTTTGTTGCTATTTCATTTATGAGGGAATTGTTCTTACTTGTAGCTTGCCAAGGTGATCAAGGGTCCCTAGAAAGTCATGGTCATAAACAAAATCCCATCATCAAAAAGAAAACTTCCTTACCGATTGCTAGCTCTTCACGTATATCTGTTGAGAAATACAACAGTTCATAGGTGATTAACTCGATTATATCAAGTGCACCTCCAGTCTGATTCTTATGCGTATCAATAAAGTCCTGCACAGTATCAAGCACCCTAAAAAACCGTTAAACCTCCACTTCATACCTCTGCGCATTCTCAATCTCAACGTAATTAAAAAACTCAGTCAGAGATATAAAAATATCTGCAAATTTCTCAGTATTATTCCTATAAGTCTGCATCATTCTGACCTCCTTCTCTTGCAGTGTCTCTGCTGCACAAGTACAGGCCAGGAATAGGAGGGTTATGAAAATGGCTGTTTTCATTTAGGTTAAGTTAAATAAAGTTATTAAGCTCAATTTGAGTTCCTTTATGAGGGGTTTTGGGGTTTTGGGGTTTTGGGG